GATGATTCTCTTACAGAAGAAGAAAAAACTGAAGCAATAAGATTAAATAATAGAGCTTATGACCGAGATAAAATTTATTTTAATTCAGGGACAAGAAGAATTTGTGAAAATTGTAACCAAAAATGTTTAGCTACATTATATTGTGAATATTGTGTTCGAAATTATTTAAAAACAAACTTTTCAAATTGGACATCTGGCAATAATGATATTGATAATTTAATAAAAAATTGCCAAATGGAGACATTTAACCCAGATGCAATAATTGAATGGATCCCATATAATAATTTACAAAATATTAAATATCTAACAAGAGGTGGATTCTCTAATATTTATACAGCAAATTGGATTGATGGAAGATATGCAGAATGGGATTCTAAAGAACAACAATTAATAAGATTAGGAACCCGTGTTGTAATACTTAAAGAATTAGAAAATATTGAAAATGCAAGCCAAAGTTGGTTTGAAGAGGTTTGTAACTTAAAAAAATATTTAAAGAACTTAAACTTAAATTTAATTATTGATAAAATTTATTGCTTTTATTAGGCTAAATCACATTTAACTTTAAGCAACAAAAGTCCAGATATTGTTCAATGTTTTGGTTTAACAAAAAATCCATCAAATGGAAATTATTTACTTGTAATGAGTAAGTTTGATATGAATTTAAAAGAATATTTACAACAAAATCATAATCAACTTACATGGAAAGAAAGAATTAGAATTACTTTTGAAATAATTGAAGCACTTTATTATATTTATAAAGAGGATTCAATTCATAGAGATTTGCATTCTGGAAATATATTATATTCCCGGTCTAATGATTCTTGGCGAATTAGTGATCTTGGATTTTGTGGTCCTGCAGATAAACCATCAACTACTAGTATTTATGGGAATCTTCCTTACATAGCACCTGAAATTATTATTGGAAGAGAATATACTTTTAAATCTGATATTTATAGTATTGCAATGCTTATGTGGGAAATTTCATTTGGACAACCTCCATTTATGAATTATGAACATGATTGTATTCTTGCAATTAATATTATTGATGGTATAAGACCAGTAATTATATCAGAAATTCCTTCAAAATATAAAAGTTTAATGGAACAATGTTGGGATGCTAATCCATTAAAAAGACCTGATACTAATGCAGTTTGGAAAACAATCAGAGAAATTAAAACATATTATCAAAATAATCCAAATGAATTACCTCAATTAATAGCAAAAGTAGATAAAGAAAAAATTAACATGAATAGTAAATCATTTACAAGTAAAACTTATAAATTTGACAACCTACCTAAACCAAAAAATGCAACAGAAGGTATAATTGTTTCATATATATTATTAATTAAATCTTTTTTTAATATTCAGTATTATTAATAATATTTTCTTTTTATAAATAATAATAGAAGAACAAAAAGGTAATATAAAGTTAATAATGTTTTAGTATAAGTCCTTTATTAATTAATAAATAGTGATAATCTCTTTTTTTAAAAAAAATAGCATTTTATATCAGAAGATCATATGATTTTAGTATTTCTAGTAATTGTAAGTATTTATTAAAATTATATTGAATTTTATGCAATAAAATATTAAATGATTCATTTCATTATAGCTAGTAATCTTAGTAATTCGAGTAATCAATATATGCCAATTAGTTCCAATGGTAATTTATTCTTATTAGTGTTTTATAATAAATAAATATATACTAATTTACTGTATATCTTAATTTTAGATAATGATAGTAAAGAATCACCCAGATTATCCAAAAAATTAAAAATAGAGAATGGTAAAGCCTTAAAATATTTATTTATATGTCAATTCTAATTTTCTTATAATATTTTTGTTGATGAGTATATTAATATATTTGATTTATTGATAATAGTAGATGTTCAAAATGACTATGTGAGAGAATTCATGCAACAACAATCAAATATTGGTACTAATGGTAAGCCATATTTATTAAATTATTTATAATATAAATTAGTCATTATTCTAATTTATTTTACTTTTACAGATGAAGTACAAAATAATCCAAGTCTTCATTCAGAACAAGATAAATCAGAAATTCTTGATGGTTTGTTTATTATTTAGTATTTTTAATAATATATTAAAATAATAAATTATATTTATTTACTAATCTATCTATTTTATAGATGAATCTTAAACTAATTTACAATTTGACAATTTGAATGCAAATTCATTTTTATTATTTATTTTACGTTGAATTATTTAAACACTAAGATTATAGAGTAGTAGGAAGATTCTTAGTTTGTAATTTAAATAATATAGTCATTCTTATTTTTTTATAGGGTTGCTCAATTATTAAATAAAGAAATTATTATTATTATGATTTTATAAATTTATTTCATCATTATAAAATATCATATACGAGTGATTTTTTGTATAAAATTTAAGTGAGTAATAAGAAAAATTATTTTGATTGCATCAGGAAGATAAATAAGCGTGATCTTCAAAATAGTACGTGTGAAAAAACTACGCAAATCAACACCACTCGTGATGATGTACGAGTGTGAAAATTTTAGAGAAATTTTCAATGGTATAAAATAGTGTATTTTTAAAAATGATGTAGTTTTTTAATAGTAAAAACCAGAAGTAGCCCGTTGCTTCACACCAGGATTAGTAAGTTGTTTTAAATTAATGAATAATGAAAAGGAAATTCTAATTTATGTTTAGAAATTTTAAAGTATTTTAATTAGAAATTTAAGGGGTGTAAATAAACAAAAATATAAAATATTAAAAACATTACTAACAATTGAATTTTAAGACATCATACAATACAAAATATATAGTAAATTATACTTACAATATTAAATACTTTGAAAGATTTTATTTTTGCTTTTGAATGTAGTATACGCCCTATTTCTGATATATATAATGTTTTCATTTGGTCTGAAAGTGATGCACGTGCTAAAGATTGTTATAACCACTTATATTTTTGTGAATGAATTTGATTCAGAACTTGATGAAATATACAAATTTAGCAAATATGATGGTGGTTTAAGTAAAGGTGGTAACTGATTTTGCCACCAGTACAGCATACAGCAAAAGATGGTGAGGTTTTGCAACTATCATGATCTTTTTCTTCTATTCAAAACTTGGCACCACAATGGATACAGTTCTGATCCATTCTACCAAGTTCATGACGCTTTATGTAAATGATATTTTGTCTGGATTTTTGTCTTTTTCTGTAATGAGCAGCTTAATGTTCACTATTTAAACTTCTTTTTCTGTTGTTTAGGTGTTTCCCTTTGAAAGGTTCTCTGAAAAGAAGCTATATTAATTTCACTATATGTAAGTAGATGTGTTATATTGATGGAAATTTGATGCACATCTTATTATTACACGAAGGTGGTGTTGCAGTATTAGTATAGAATTTATGATTTATTTATGTGTGCTTTTTTACTTTTTTTTTTTCTTTTGCTTCTCTTTTACTTTACATTTTTTTTTCTTTTTCTTCCTTCTTATTTTCCTTTTCTCCCCCACTTTTATTTTCCTTTTTTTCCTTCTTCTTTTTTACCTTTTTTGTTTTTTTTCTTTCCTCTTTTTCGTCTCTCTTTTTCACCCTTTGCCTCATTTTCCTACTTTACTTTTTATCTATTTTGCAAAACTTATACTACGCAAATCGTCTAGCTAATTGTGCATGATGGTACGGCCTTCTTCCACTTCTCTTTAGGCATGGCATCCATAACTGATAACTCCATTTTGGCTTTAAGGTGTGTCTTTTTTTTTTCTTTTTTTTCTTTGCTCTTGTTTTTTATTAATTTCATTATATACTTTTTTAGGCGCCATTATCTCCTTTCTTTAAGATAGTTTCTATTTCAATAGAATTTAGGTAAGTTCCTAGTATATTTCTTTTTTTTCGTTTTCCTTTACCTTTGCTAATTCATTTTTCTCCTTCCTTTTTGTCTTTTGCTTCTCTCCCTCCTTTCGTCTCTTTCTCTTTTTCTTCCTCTCTCTTTCCTTTTCATCTTCTTCACTCATTCCTTTTCGTCTCTCTTTTTCGTCTTCTTATTTTCTTCCTTTGTCTTCTTTTCTCTTTCTTTAACTTTTGTCCTTACTTCTTCCTTTTTACCTCTCTCCTTCTTTCCTTTTTATCTTCCTCCTTTTTTATTTTTCTTTTCACTTTTTCTTATTTTTTTCCTCCTCCTTCTTTATCCTCTATTTATTTTTATATGAATCGGTTTCACGTGATTGGATTGCTGATCGATTGATTTAGGCCTAGTAAATTCATTAATTGTGAGGCGCAGTATTAAAATTTAAACTTAGTGTATAAAATTTATGAATTTAAAATGTAAACTCCTGGGTCACGAGTATAAACTGATTCATATGTAATGTTTAGTATTACATAATTTTTTTTATCATTTTATAATTTTTAGAAATAATTAATTTGATTGGTTCTTTAAAAAGGGGATTTACAAGTGATTATGAAATTACATCATAAGTCACGTTGATCACAATATAGAGAATGATACTCAAATAATTATAAGAAGAGAGATATTTCCGACGTTGTAGACACCATTATACGAATGAATATTGCCCAGTCCAAGGTAATACCAACCTAGCGAAAAATCTACGCTTCTATAAAGAACAAATAGAGTATTAAACTTCACGATACGCTGTCAGTAACGGCCTGAACGTTAAAAAAGTTCACTCTCAACGCCTAGGCGGTAGTTATAACATCACAAAACGAAAATACAAAACCTACGACGGTCTTAAAAATCCTACGTTACAACAAATTATGGAACACCGAAAACTCAACAAAGACCAAACTGTTGAAAGTGAACGAATATACTAAAAACAATACCACAACCTCAAATTCGATGTTGTACGCTCCCACAACAAGTGGAAAGATGGAACAGACTTACGCATAGCATTCTCCATCAAGAACATCCGTATCAAGGATTTCACAAACCCTATATCATTAACGGCCTGCTCCAATCCGACCTAAACAATTACAACACCTGCCTGTTAAATACGCGATGCGTCCAAAGAGTCCTTATATGGCCGATTATGTGAAAGCAAAACGGTGTAAGAGAAACTGGTTACGCCGTGTTAAAAAACGCAACAAAAAGAAAAAACCTTTACCTCCGCTACCATCAGGAACACCTGGCGACCCGCGCTTATATTACCTCACGACTTATAATTTCAACCTCTTCCAATATAAAATTAGACGTCAGCTCCATCCGTCAATACAGCTACGGCTATAAATACGCCTGCCAAACATGGCGTCGTCACTTACAATATGTGGCGATTCATACATCGGACGTTACGTCCAAAGCCAATACTAACGCTCGTTACGTCATCTCAAAACAGGATCAGATCATTCAGATGGTCCTTAACACTCCGGATGTCTTTCTTAGACGAACACCACCTCCGGACAACGTTTCCGCCTCAACGATGAGTGATTTATCATACACCTCCGCCGTGTCCACACCTGACACGATAATGACTCCAGCAGCGCATGAATAATTATTAATTCACTTCATAAATATAACATTACGGACCTTTACTTAGATCACACCATTCTATACATGACAGCATTTACGTATAGTATCTAGTTTTAGATAAAAGAAAAATACGTGTGACATTAGGCCTGTTCAAGATCGGGTTTTGAATTGATAATGAAATTGTGTGACCTGATCAACGATCCGAACTTTCCGAACAACAAAATTATGGTATCATTTTGATCACTTTTTTTTTAACGTGTCTGGTGTCTAGTGAAGTTTTAATAGGCCCCCTCAAAAAGTTTAATATACCTTTACAATATTGCTTATTTGCCATTTTTAAAAAAGGAAAATATTTTATTATACGAAAAACAAGGTGACCAAGATTAACCGTTCAATAAGCCGATCAAAGTACTCAATTTTGATTTTGATCACATGATAGAATTGGTTAATGGATTTTCGATCAAAAAACCCGAACGATCAGAATTGAACAGGTCTATTGATACGTTTGAACTCCTTTTTTTTTCTGTTCGCTGTTCTTTTTCATTGTCTGGTTATGCCCGGGATTCTTATGAATAAGAGGGTAGACGGCTCCTATCTAGCGTCTTGGGTTGGACGAACTCGCATTAGCTTAGTTTTGTTTCGTTTTCTTTGTATTTCGTTCTAGTATTTGCTTGTAGTCCTGGATCTAGAGTCTATATAATAAAAATAAAATAAAAAAGAGAGATATTTCCGCAGAAAAGAAAAAAAAAGAGAAGAAAAATATTGTTTTAAGAAAATGAATATTGAAATTAAAAATCTCGCGGGAAAGTGATGAAAAGAAACAACTTTTATTAATATCGAAATGGGAGAAAATCAAAATTAGGGGAATTTAATTATAAGAGAAGGGAATAATTGAAATATTTCGATTTTGCTATCGTAAGTAAAAGATTCTTTGAAAAAATACGTGTTAATGTTTAATTTTCAGATCAGAAAAGAATATGGTTATCATACATAATCATGCATTTTGACCAAGTCAAGAAAGTAATACGAGGAGGGTAATTTTTGGGATCCTATTAAAGATCACGTGGAGTGAAAAGAAAAATGATTTTTATGAATTTTATTAGATGAATTTAATTTAATTTCATGAATTTATATGAGAGATTTGGGAAATTATTATTATTTTTACATTTTTATTGGACGAATTTCATATTATTTTGTTATTTTTATTTATTTTAAGTGTGAATATTTATATTTTTATTAGAGGAATTTCATTATTTTGTTATTTTTATTTATTTTAAGTGTGAATATTTTATTTTTGATTTAATGTTATATGTATCTCCTGTGGGGAGATATTAAATAAGAAAATTAATATTTTATTTTTGTTAATATAAATTATAATAATAGTCTGTAAAAAATATCAACAATATATCATCTGGTATATATCATGATTATTATTTGATACATTTTTCTTTTTTGCTTGGTTATATCATTAGTTTGTTCTAGATTAATATAAAAAAAAAAAGTTTAATATTTTATTTTTGTTAATAAAAGAATTTATGTAAGGTGAATATAAATTATAATAATAGTCTGTAAAAAATATCAACAATATATCATCTGGTATATATCATGATTATTATTTAATACATTATGATACATATTTTTCTTTTTTGCTTGGTTATATCATTAGTTTGTTCTAGATTAATATAAAAAAAAAAAGTGTAAAATTACAGTTCTATTTATTCAATATGAGTCATACATATATCTAATAAAATTTATTTCATTTCATTATTACATGAATTGCATATATTGCATATACAGTTTATAATCTTCTGCAATAATGAATCTGGTTGACAATATTTCGTGTTAATGTGTCTGAATCATATTATTTTTTTTAATATTTAAGATCTCTAATTTCTCTCAAACATTAAAAATTACTTTTTGCTTTTACTATTACAAATACAAAATCAAAAAATTGGACTTACTATGGATTTTGAGCCATAACTGAGATATAATCATTGGTTTCACTAGCTCAACTAACTAGCACTACATTTACATCAGCCAAATGGCAAAGCCTTGATGTTGCCTGGAAAAATCGTTTTTTGGATGAAGCAAATGTATTATTAGATTCAAATACTTTTGCTGAATTAAAGAAAAAGGTGTGTTTGTTTTTATTTTGCAAAGTATTGGGTAACTCCTAATACTCCCCGTGGTCACTTAGTGAGAATTACTGTCTTGACATCCTTGGTAACCAACCCAAGACTCTCATTTCGGGCACCCATGCTTTGTCGTTGATAAAGTCTGCTAATTCTGGAGGAGGAATTGGCTATGTACCTTCTTTATTACTAAATGAAAATTTAATGCACTACTAATAATCTTGTAAAATAAAACAATTATAGGTAAATAATGGTATAAGTCAATTGGAATCAGATAAAGTGAAATCTTTCATAATAAAAATAACAAAATTACTTTTATACGAATTAACCAATACCTCTCTGTTCAATCAGAGTCATATGCTAAATAATCATAGTTATAAAAGCCATCATGATAATTGAAATCATCATCAGAATCATAATAAAAATCATCATAAAAATCATCATAAAAATCATGATCATCATAAGCATCAAAATCATCATGGCAATTGTTGTTGAAATAATCAGATTTTTGAAAAATGCCTACATAAAAAGTTATAGGCATTTAAAATCAAGTGATTTTTATATGATCAGAAACAAAAAATCATGTGATTGCAGTTATACTTAGCCAAAATTTCGTAATTGGAATTGACATTTAATTTCTGAACGCCATTCCAAAACTCAGTATATTAAAATTTATCTCAAAATTTGCTCTCTCAACTCGTTTATAAAAGGATCGAACAATCAGACACCAAATTGTTGCAACCTTTGGTTCTTATTTTTTTGATGATTTCCTTTATATTCAAGATCATGTCTGATTTTTCGCTTTTCTTATAATATAGAGAGTCGTTATTTGCTACTCACGTGATGAACCAGAAAATCGAGAATCATTGTCGAGTATAGAGTATAGATGTTCCATATTAAAAAACAAAGATATAACTACAATTGCATATCTTAACCAGATTAAATAAATATACTTAGATGTTAATAAAGAAACTTTGTTTGACATAAAAATACTGAGGATTTAAGCCTAAGAATTATAAATAATTTAAAAACACTTATTAAATTCTTTACAGAAATCTCATTATTTTAAACGATATCATTTCAATATCAAAATAATATCATTTTGATAATATCACAATATAGCTACTATACAATATCAAAATAGAGGAGACTGCGAATAGAAACTCTTCCTGACGATCTTTTGGCCAAAATTTTTACAAGAGAAAATTTTAAATTTTATTATACAAAACATATACAAAATACATATAAAATACAGGAAGAAGTTTTAAAACAACTTATAACGGAGTTTTATAGAGGCTTTGCAGGTTTTGAGGTAGAATACACAAAAGATTTTTATCTAGCTTTGAGGAAAATTGAAAAATTAGACTTAGCAGAATACGAAAAAACACATTTGGAAGAAGACCTGGGTTTTCAGATACATAAGGCAGTTCTCTCAGAAAGACGTATAATAGGACTAACAGGGGTAACTGACTATGATACCTTGGTAAAAGTTGCTGTCTTTACAATGAAACTTGGAGGAGAAACTTTCAAGAGAATAGTAGAGAAAATGCTTCGTGAGAATTCTGCAGTACAGGGTGACACAACAAGCAATGAAAAGGAACCAATAGAAAAGCCTTACAAGAAAAAGCTGCCTTTTGGACGCTCTGAAAAAGCGGAGGACACAATTATGGAAAAAAATGAGATAATACAAGAAAATGTAGATAGATTAACGGAATGCAAAGAATTAAAAAGGATAGCTGAAGAACGAATAAGAACTCTGGAAAATGATTTAAAGATAGAAAGAGAATGAATAAAATCTTTGGAAAATGATGCAATAAAATTAAACGAAGAAATGAAGTAAAAGACAACGAGCAAGGTTGCCACATCTAGTAAGCATAAGAGTAAGACAAAAAGCCACGATCAATGCAGAAAATCAAAAAAAAGAAATCATCGACGCAGGAAATCAAAAAGGGGAAAATCGCCGAAATTCCTGTTCAAACGATGATTATTTGGAAAAACATTTTGCCGAAAAATCACGTGATTTAAAATTTTATGATTTTCCTGCTTATTGGAAGGACAATGATATATACGAAAGTAGGATACGTAGAAAAATTAGAGGTCAGATAGAATTACAAATATAGAACCGTTCAGGCTAGGATCCGCTTGACAAAAGAAATGGAAGAAAAATTTCTTAAAGGAGGATCCAATATAGTCATAGCAAGAAACGATCGGTATTATTTTTTTAGGATGTTTGACGCAAAAATGAACACTTCAGCAATCAAGAAAAGATATGAATGGCAAGCTTTTAAGAAATTAAATGAAGAAGAAAGCAATAAAACAGAATATGTATTACTTAAATTATTCAATTTAAAATATGGTGGGCACTTTTCAAAAATAATTAAAGTAAACAAAATAAAATATATTTTGATGTATTTTAACAATGAAAGTGACCTATTAAAAGCAATTTATAAATCGAAGACGTGGGAAAAGGACTTCAAATGAAAAGCCAAGATGAATTAATAGGCGACGAAGGAACATACAAGAAACGTTTTGGAATCAACAGATTTAAATTACCACAACAAATGGCAAAGAATAAATTTGTTGACGCAAGAACTGATCAAATATCAACAATACCAAGAACATTAGAAGAACATGAAGAATTAGATGCATTGAATAGCAGTTTTAAAGGAAGACTAGAGGATATTGCATCAGGATCAAGCTTGCCATCAGCAAAAGGAAAGAAGAAGGTGGAGGATATCGATGAAAATGAAGAGAGGATCAATAAAAACAAAAAGCGTATAGTAAGTAAGCAGGGAGAAAGGGAAAATTCCAATAGCGAATAAACAAATTATCCCAAAAATTTTTTCACAAATTCAAAAAATCTTCTAAGTAACCAATACTGGAATCTGATCGAAGAAACTTAGGCAACAGAGAGTTTTGTACTAAATTCTAAGATATTTTCTATGTAGTGTAGTTTTCTTTAGATTATTTTTTCGATGTAATAATTTTAATAGCTTAGATTTGGGTGCTTTTATATTATATAGTTTTTATTTTTCTTTCAATTCATTAATAGTGTAGAATTATTTAAAAATAGCAAAGTCTCAAAACATACAAAAATATTAAAAAAATCAAAAAACATAGTAAAATTAGAAGATAGTAACGTTGGGGTGGTAGATATACTAATTAAACCAAATATATGTATAGTCTTATAATCCAGATTTTTTTACTATATTACTGAATTCGAAATAGTGTTAGGAAAATTATACAGGGTATCCGGATTTTTGGATACTAACATTTAAATTATTTATTGACGGTATTATACATTTTGAAATATAAACTTCATCTATATAATTAAAAAAATTTGTAACGTTTAGATTACCTGTATAAATAAATTTTAAATTGTGCAATCGTATTTCCATTGGCCAGTTTATTACGTTGACGTTCAACAAAAATGAAATTTATATGATTATTATTATTCCATTCAGCCAATCCTGGTGCGAAGCAACGGGTTACAACTAGTATTATTTATTTAAAAATTTGTGATAGCCATTTGCCTATTAAAAAATCCGAAATCTTTAAAATTTGAGAAATCATGTTATATTAACTTTTAAGAAATACTAGAAATACAAACGGATACACAATAACTTGGAAAAAATGAAAATAGAATGCTTTTTTTGAAATTACTCAAGAAAAAAAGAATTTTCCTATAAAGAAGCAGTTCTTTTAAGAAAATCAAACTATTTCATGAAAGAGATGGTGTTTTAGAATGTTTTTGCAGAATTCAGAGCGAAAAATGAGAAGAATCCAAAGTTGTGAAAGTTTAAAAAATATCAAATTTAATTGAAAGTTTATTATAAAAAACTAATTTTAAGCTTAATATGTTGATCACGAAAATAATAAACTTTATATGAGACTATACATATATTTGATAACTAGTATATCTACCAACCCCATAGTAATGTAGTTTAGAAAACAAACAATATTAATTTTTAATTTAATCACAATATTTAGTTAAATTTTAAATTAGCAACTTTGATACCGAATACTTAGTTATAGGGTTGATAAAGTTTATCTTTATTGGCTCTAGGTGCTTTTGTAGTTAATTATCCTGATCTTTGAGATCGTATATAATTAATAAAGCGCGTTACTATTTAAAAAAAAAAAAAATACAATATCAAAATAATATTGAATAATATCTTAACAATATCAAATTGATATCATTAGTGATATTGTTAACAATATTGTTAAGCTTATAAATGTTAATGACTTTATTTTGATATTTATTATATCATAATGATAAGTGATATTTTTAGTGATATTGCAATGAAATTGTTTAGTTACCATTTTAATATTGTTACAATTTCAAATAGGGTCTTTAAGATGACCTTAATGGTTTGAAATTTTAGGGCTTCAGTAAAGTTTATAAATTATATAATTTAATAATACTACTATAGAGATCTGCATTGACCCCTATTTTGCAACCTGGCCCAGCCCGCACTTGGAAAATAACATAAAGTATCTGGCCCGGCCTAGCCCAGACTCAATATATTAAAAACCCAACCGGACTTCTATTATATCATTTTGTTGTAAAAACAAAAAAATCGGCCAAAGTTTAATTTTGGCCGGAATTAAGACGATTTTGGCCAGAGTTACAAAAATCCGGATTTAACGAAAAATCATGTGCCAGCCTGGACCTTGCCCGGGTGAATTTTGAAGAAAGTTTTCCAGCCAAAACTCAGATCTGGGTCCGGCCAGGTTAGGGTTTCCGGGTTCTGGGTCCCATTTGCAGACCTCTATACTACTAGTGACACATGAAATATAATGTTTATAACAAAATATTATACTAAATATAACTATATTTTCTACTTTATACTGCTCTTTAGCTTCATGGGTTTTACTCTTTAACATTACTGATTTTGCTCTTTAATTTCGTGGGATTTGCTATTACGTTCTTTTAACTCATCAATGTTTGTTCATTATCTTCATCATGGGTTTGTTCTTTATATCTATCATGGTTCTGTTCTTGGATCTTGATTTCATTTTTTTACTTTATTGGTTTCATTTTTTACTTGTTTTTCCTTAATTTTTGTTTATCTCCTTTCGACTTCCTAAAAATAACAATCAAAAATTATTATATGACCATCATGCACATGCTGTACAGTTATTTTACACATCACTTAATATAGCGCACATCGTTCATATTTATAAAATAAATTGTATTTTTTTACATTATTTGTTAATAACTATAAACAAATTATTTATACTAATTTAATATTAAAATCGGAGTCTGTTAATACACCACTTTTAATTATTTTTGCTAGTTTCGTCTTGAGAAATTGTAAGCTGAATTTTTTTTGTAATTTCGTAGTAACTCTCAGAAGATTCAGAAGTTTCATTATCTTTTTTTAAATTTTTATAAACTGTAAAATCAAATTAGCATAATTGCTACTAATTAACAAAAAAGATATTCTAAATATACCTTGCGATGCTCGTTTAAATGTACAGTTCACCCTCGCTATAGTGAATTTTTATATAGTGAATAATTTGCTATAGTAAAGAAAAGCTCAGGTACGGATTTTCTATATAAATAATAATTCTTAATACAGTTCACCTTCGCTATAGTGAATCCCTTACTATAGTGAATCTTAACCTTCAGCCCATGAGCTTCACTATAGCGAGGGTAAATGTTATTATCAAATTCTGAGGTTTCATTTGAAATGTTTAAATTGGTTGTAATTTCTTGAAATTCTAAAATATAAAATAGAAATAAATATTGATAGAAAATTGAATAAAGCTTTTCAATAAAATGATAAAATAAATTTTATAAATACTACTTTATTATCATTTCCAGTTATTTTTTCCGCTAGATTTTCCATCATACGCAGTTGATCTTTTTCACCTGTTGGAAGATATGGTCGTAAACTCTCATCACTTTTATGACGTGATTGCTTTCAGATATTGAGAGTAGATTCTCCAATACTTTCTAAAGCTTGTACCATAGTCTTTCTACCAGTATGTGGAACAATTTTTCTGTTGCTAATATTAAGACCCACGCTGATACAGATCGTTCTCATAAATGATTTGAGTCGATTAAATCCAATGTGATTTCTTTTAAACCATATACCGGATGAGAGAGCTTAATAATTATTTAGTTAGTTACATATTCTATCTTTTGTTTTTTTTAGAATACAGAATTTTCAATTATTTAATGATCACTTACCATCTTCTTCACCCATTTCTTGCAAGTAAAATTCTGGATCTGCATCTTTTGGACGTAATGAAATATATTTGTCATAATGTTGAATTATTTCTTCATTATATGGTATGAGGATTTTGTCTGCTTTTCCTCTACTTCCAAATGCTCCCCTCTGGTTCGTTTTACTACGATAAATATATACTGTGAAACCTCCATCTTCTCTTTTTTTGAAATCTTCTAATAGAAGTACAGAATGTTCTTTACCCCAGATACCTAATAATAGTGCGTTATAAAAGTAAATACGATATAATAATCGTTCTGATGTTGTACTATCTAATGTTTTATGATTAAGTATTATTGAGATTTCATCCATAGATAGTGCATCAGCACCTTTTGCATCATTTAGTCCCAAGTCAGAAAAAAATTTTAGCTTTCCATTGGTGACTTCCCAAAAGGCTGGAAAGGTTGCTTGATCATGAATGTTTATGCCGGATATTGTAGAATTTTTCATGATATGATGATGTATAGCAGCAATTGCACAACGTACAGAACTTGCAGAATATTGGTTTCCATTTTTTTGCTTCATTTCTACTATATAGTTTGCTAACTGTTTGTATAGAAATTACGTGTTCAATTTTCTCTTCTGGAAATTTATCCTTTCTAAAAAAATTCTTCAAGATTAGAAATCCAGTTTTTTGTTGCATTTGATGTATTCTTTACTTTTCCAAATGATTTGAAGAACTCAATACTGCTATCGTACTCGTTTTCCCACAATAAAATATACGAAATAAAAAAAAATAAAGAGAATATAATTTTAAAGTATAACATGATAAATATTACATTAAAAAGATAATTTTTCATGTTACATTTGATGTTTGTGCACGTTTATTGTTTACTTTGAACTACTTATAGTTTCTAGTATATAAATCATGCTAAAAGTAAAAGAATTAAAGAGTTACGGTTTAGTATAAATAAAGTATAAAAAAAGTTTGATTTGATCAATATGATGGTCATGGTGGTCAGACTGGTCAGTATAATAATATTGTTATTGTACGGACGTGCTTAATAATTGTTATGATGTGGCGTTTCGCGCCACATAATACCATTATTATTTATTAAGTATGCCCGTACAATAACATACAAATATATCACCCTGGTCTAGGAATAAATTCACTTAAAAATTAAAATATTAAAATAATAAATATAAGAATCCGGGCTGGGTCCAGGCAAAGTTTCAAGTATGAGACATAATACAGTATATGGATAAAATTAACATTTAATAAAGAGACTTTTGCTTTGATTAATTAAACTTATTTATATTATTAATTATGTATTATATAGTTACATTTATATTATTATGGTAATGAAGTAAAGTATATATTTAATAAAATAATCTACTGTTTTTCTTTGCAACCATATTTAGTTAATATCACCAGAATTAAACAGATAAAATAATTTTATATATAATCACCTGAGTTATTCAATATTAAATTTCTTATCATCATAATTTAATTAGTGCTCTAATCTACATCCACTAACCCAATCAAAAAAATTTGATTTAGATTGGCATCTTAAACGAATCTTGTCTTCATTTGAAGCTTAAAGACTTTGTATCATTTGTATTTTCTTCCATTTTTTTGGCATAATACTATTTATACTTATAAGTTATAACTTCGATCCTAGATCAATAGTAATCTAGTAATAACAAATAATTTGGACGCGTAAGCGCGTTAAAATAATTTATTATAATAGTAAAAAATTAAGGTTTTAACTTACTTAATATTACTTTTAATGACTACTAATTATAACCTGGAAAATTTAAAATATAATAAAAGTTGAATATAAAATTTTTTTTTTTATATAATAGTCTGTCGAAAAATATCAACAATATATCATCTGATATATATCATGATTATTATTAGATACATTATGATACATATTTTTTCTTTTTTGCTTGGTTTATATCATTAGTTTGTTCTAGATTAATATGAAAAAAAAAGTGTAAAATTACAATTCTATTTATGCAATATGAGTCATACATATATCTAATAAAATTTATTCCATTTCATTATTACATGGATTGCATATATTGCATATACAGTTTATAATCTTCTGTAATAATGAATCTGGTTGACAAAAGCTGAGTATTTTGTAGTGCTTTTTTCGTGTTAATGTGTCAGTCTGAATCATATTATTTTTTTAATATTTAAGATCTCTAATTTCTCTCAAACTTTAAAAAATACTTTTTGCTTTTACTAATAAACAAATACTTTTTTATAAACAAATCAAATGAGTACAGAAACTCAAAAATATATTGGACATGAGACTCTTGTTTCCTATATAATTGAGACAAAATCAAATAATTGGACTTACTATGGATTTTTGAGTCATAACCGAGATATAATCATTACTTCACTAGCTCAACTAACTAGCTCTACATTTACATTAGCCAAATGGCAAAGCTTTGATGTTGCCTGGAAAAATCGTTTTTTGGATGAAGCAAATAAATTATTAGATTCAAATGCTTTTGCTGAATTAAAGAAAAAGGTGCGTTTGTTTTTATTTTGCAAAGTATGGGTAACTCCTAATACTCCCCGTGGTCACTTAGTGAGAATTACTGTCTTGACATCCTTGGTAACCAACCCAAGACTCTCATTTCGGGCACCCATGCTTTGTCGTTGATAAAGTCTGCTAATTCTGGAGGAGGAATTGGCTATGTACCTTCTTTATTACTAAATGAAAATTTAATGCACTACTAATAATCTTGTATCTTCTTACAGTTAATTTCAGAACGATCACGTTATATAAAAAAGCTGCAAATTTTCTGGCAAGGAGTAATCAAAGAATATGATAAAGAGAATACCAAAGAATGTGATAAAGAGAATGATGTTACATCTCTTATAAAAAAGACAGTTGAGGCTCCTGCTAATCTTTCTAAAACTTCACAATCAGACACATCACTTTCAAAAAAAACAGTCACATCTCTTACAAAAAAGACAGTTGATCCTGCTAATCTTTCTAAAATTTCACAATCAGACACATCACTTTTAAAAAAAACAGTCAAAATACCTCCTAAAAATATTCATGAAACTTTACAACCAGATGTACAATCAGAAATATTACTTCCAAAAAAGACAATCAAAGTTTCTGAAACTTTACAACCAAACTTTGAACTTATTAACTTTTGTTATGATATACTTCATGAACTTGAAAACACATCTTATGCTAATCTATTTTATAAATGTATTAAAAATGATGTTAAAAATAATATTATAAACCATCCAATAGATCTATTTACTATAAATTTAAATTTAGAAAATAATCAATACACTAGTTTAGAAGATTTTGAGAAAGATGTTCGTTTAATATTTTGTAATTGTTATACATATAATGATGTTGGAAGTGAAATATATAGTTCAGGTAAAGCATTAGAATCTATTTTTAATAAAAAATGGAATGAAAAACTTATTCTTAAAGGTAAACAAATAAAAGAACTGAAAAGAACAAGAGATAATGATGCTGATGATACAGATGGATCCTGGAAGAAACAAAGACAAATTTTAGAACAAAATATGGATAATTTAATGTATAGACAGATTGTTAATGATGCACTTCTTGCTACTTCAGCATATGAAAGTCTTGTTATAGGTAATATTATCCTTTTATTGAAATTTTAAAGACCTTTCTATTAACAAGGTCAAAGATGTCTTTATCATCAGCGAATGAATCTATGCTTCAAGCAATTGTTGAAATTCTTCTGCCATTAAAATATCATATTCCAGAGCTTTCATTAGTAATGGATGGCAAGAAGCCAAAAGGATCAGGTCGATTTGGTTATTCAGATATTTTTATTTTAAAAGGAATAGGAGATAATTATATTAGCTTAGAATTAAAATATATTTCATTAGTTGGCTTAATAAGAAATCAGATGTTTGGTGCAAATGAATTAGAAAACTTAGATAAAATTCTTGAAAAGGAAGATGAAGAGATTTTATTAAAAAGATCATATACATATTGGTCCAAAGAATTTAAAAAAACAAACCAGACAACTATAGGTGAGGTATTAAAAAGTGGTATAAGTCAATTGGAATCATATATGAATACAATCTCAAAGGGAAAAGTTGCTAATTATTCCAGCTCAGGAGTACTTGATGAACGTGTTAAAACAATTAAATCAAATCCCAATAAATTGAAAGGTCATCTTAGTGATTGGTTTTCGTCGTATTTTATGGAAACCTGTTGAAGAAGTAATATCCAATTATACATACAATAAAATTTAAAGTAGTTTAATTAATTTAAATGATTTTTATACTCACAAAAAGGTATCATAGGTTGAAATAATCAGTTAACACCATTAAAATTACAGTTTTTTAGCAATTTTTCATCATCTTTATCAATTAATAATCATGAAATTAGACTAAGATTATGTTATTGTTTTGATAGTTTCACAAAAAATTATAAATTTATTTCATTTTAATATCAAGATTTGCCTTTACAAATAAAAATCTTTTAATTACTTATTTTTTATTGCCATACAAACTTATTACAATATTAATACATTAACAAGGTGAAAAAGGAAAGGACAAAACATTCAGAAGTAAGTGATGTAATCTCTATTGATCTGGTTAAAAAAAAAAAAATATCCAACAAATAATTTCACAAGCATTAAAATAATTGTCCGGAGCGAAGCGAAGGACTATATATGTCTACGCACTATGATGATCTATGGAAATAACATGTAAATTTTCAATCACGTGAGTTTCTGTCCAGGAATTCCAAGGCGTTATGCTGCTAATATCGCTACATCTTTATTTATTATACCTCGCTCCGGCGGACTTACAACGGTTCCCGTTTCCTAGTTTAAGACAAAGGTATTGTTATGGCTAATTAAGATTACAGCTCAGAGAAAATGAAATCTTTCGTAATAAAAATAACAAAATTACTTTATACGAATTAACCAATACCTCTCTATTTTCTATCGCAACAAGAGTCATATTCCGAATAACCATAGTCATAATCATTCATCAGAATCATAATAAAAATCGTCATAAAAATCGTGATCGTCGTCATAAGCATCAAAATTATCATGGCAATTGTTGTTGAAATAATTGACGTCATCAAAATTATTGTTTGGATTGTTAACCTCATTAATAATCCATACAAACGCGATTGTAAACCATTTTTTTTATTTTGCAATAAAAAAAAGCTTAAATAAAAAATATTTTTTCTTTTTTTTTTTTTTAAAAAAAAAAGCGGTTACATACTGTAAGTGAAAAAAGGATTTTCATTCAATTTTGAATATAATATATTTTTACCATTGGTTTCATATGACAAAAAACAATGATTGGCAAAGGAGGATTATATAAGAATAATCTGCGCTAATATGTTACTAAAAAGGAAATCGGTTGTTAACTCCTCTTAACGAAGCGCAGGTCAAATTTTCATGGTAAAAATGTATGAGAATGATCCTTTTTATATGCGATAGGTTTAGTTTTTCTGCACACATATTATTTGAGTTCGTGCTTATTTAATTTGCATACATGATTAAACGATGAATTTACAATAAAACCATACAAGTGATAGCGTGGCGTAACTGGCATCTACTTTAGATACTATAGGACGGAGTTGAGTGAAAAATAATTAATAATATTATAAAAGCTTTTAATTTTACGAGCAAATGTATCATTACAATGTATAATGTATTTCACTCTATCCTTTATTTTATTTACGACATAGAAATCAGTATGTCATAATATAGAATTAAAATTTGATGTATGTTGAACATCGACTTACCACAGCGGGCTGAAAAAACTGGAAAAGAAAGTATTTTTCTTAAATTGATTTTTAAAGAAACGTTTCTAACGTTTTATTTCTTGTTTTTTGGGGGAAGATTGACTTTAAAGAAACGTTTCTGACATTTCTTTTCTTGTTCTTTCTAGGAACGCATGCTGAACTTTAAATGTGATGTAAAAGGAGAAGTGTGTGAGTTTTTTTTTTTATTAATTAATTTAAGAAATGTTTTTACGTTACATTTCTTGTTTTTTCTAGGGATGCAGTTTGAACATATTAGTTAGATAAATGGGTAAATGAGAAAGAGAGTGACAAGTTGTTTTTTCATCTCTTCTTTAATATCACGTGACTGTAACTTTGGGTGACGTGAAGTCGTGAAGTCGTGAAGTCGTGAAGTACCATAATTAAGTTCAATTCCAAATTTAATTACTCATACTACATTAACTATTTATATTATTGACTCGTGTTAACCGATTACACGTCAAATCGAATGATTTTTTTGTTTATCAAAACTTGATAATGAAATAAAATGCCAAGTAATATTAAGATTTAGAATCATTAATTTCCGAAGGTCATATCGAGTACTATGAATATTCCGACTTTAAGAATATACAACAAATAGGAAAAAGATTATTTGGGTACTTGGAAAAATACCACTCGCTATTTCGCATGAAATAGTAATATTAAAGAGGTATGAAACTTTATAATCATTTAAAAAAATGTGACACGATAAATTAATCCTCGTATATATATTATTTCACAGTTATCACTTCACCGAAAAGTTGATATTCGTGAAAATATTTTGCGGTTTTATGGAATTACAAATAAAGAAAATGACAGTAAATTTAGAAACATAATAAAACTTTTGCTCAAATTTTTTTAGATGTAATATCTGATTTTCACGCTGCTTTATTAGCAGATGCATTATTAAATAAATACTTTTTGTGAATTAAAAAAAGAAATTATTTAGATGATGATATCATAAAATTGGTTTAGGATGAGTAATTGATGAAAATGATTCTGAGGAAGAGCAAATTCAAACGATTGAATAAAACAAAATGTTTTGTACATATCAGTATTAGAAAGAGTGTGTTTTTCGCCAAAATGTCTTACTAAAGAACTTCGAGATAAAAATAACCTTTTTTAAAAAAAATAAATATTTGATAACCTGTGAATTTGATTTTATTAGTTATTATTTGGTGCAGACTTTCTCTTCTTACCAAATGGTTTTAGTGTCAAATATAAATAGCGTAAAACATTAAAAAATTTTAAAAATAAATATTTGATAATCTTTAAATTGATTTTATTGTTTATTATTTGATGAACTTTTTTTTTATCTTTCCCAAATAATTATATAAATAACTATCGGTTGGCGTAAATAAATAAAATTGTAAAGTATAAAATTAATAAGACACGTGAAATTATCAATTTACCATGAATAATAAAAAACCTCGCAATTTTATTTATAATAAAATGTTCGCATATTCGCATATAATTAATCAAGTTCCTTCATTAAATTATAAAGATTTATAAAAAAAATATTGATTTGAAAGAATTGTTTAAATAACCCATCACATATAATAAAAAGTAAAATTCAAAAAGTTTAAATTCATTTTTTTCAATTCTTTTTCCCAATTTGTAAGTACTTAAATTATATTGTGTTTCTTCGTTTCCATCTACTGCTGCTTTGTTATATTTTCTCTTAAATCTTTCAATATAAGCCTAAAATATTCCTCCTGAATTTTACAATGGAATAATAAAGAAAGAAAAAAAAAGCCTATTGAATTGAAGAAAAATAATGTAAAAAAAAGCAATAACCCTTAGTAATTTTACCGAGGTAGCCTTCCTGAATTTCACATAAGAACCGTTCTTAATTAAATAGAAAAAGAGAAAGAAAATTTAATTTATTGTAATAATTCCTAATAAAACATTACCATTAAAAATAACTAAACAGTCCCTTTACTGTATTTTATTCCTAAATAAGAAAAAAAAAAAGTACGATACTTTGCTGTAAAACCTTCTGAAAATACATCTACACGAAACTTCTAGATTTGAATAATAAAGCCATTATTCCTAGAAAAGAAAAGAACGTTATTTGTTTAGTATCATGCTAAAAAACCACCACTGTCACAAAACAGAATTTAACTAATTTCACAATAGAAGCTGTTGCGAAAAAAAAATGTTTTTCGCTTATTTATTGTGAAAAAATTTTTTTTTTTTTGATTTTATTATAAATAAACAAGAAATTTTTCATTTGTTTCAACTGTTGACTTATTTTTTTTTTACTTTATTCCTTGAAACTTGCTTCCATTGTTTTTGATTTCCTTATAAAATGTCAAAAGTTGATTCCCAATCAATTACTATCGTCCCATCACGTTATTACTATCTCAACTTTACCATTTAAAATACAGCGATGATTGTTTTGACAAATTTAATTTAGAAGCCTACTATGAGGACAGAAAATAAAAGTCATTTGATGAGCATATAAAGCAAAAAAAGAAGAATATTCAAGTGACAAAAGTGAATCTAAAATATTAGCAAAAATTTGGATTATTAAAAGAAATGTTGACAATATATCGATATTGTTCAAGAAAGAAACTTCATTAGACGTCTTGTTAGTATATGATTAAGAGTATAAAGTTTTAGTAAAAAAAAACAATAACAAAAGAGCAAAAAAAATAATGCACAATTTATGATGATACTATTGACACGGCTAACATAACCATAATAGAAATTTTTAAACATGTAAAACTACAAAACTTGGTTTAGGCATCCTGTGTATATTTAGTTAATTACGTAATTTTTGTTTCTTTCATAAAATATGTTAATATGATAATGGCAATTATTCTTTATTTCATATTTATTCATAGTATATAAACAATATTTAATACTCAAGAATTTTTAAAAAAAATAAAATAAAAATACCAACTTAGTTTACTCACTAGTTATGGGTTAATTCAGTAATGCAATGGAAGGTTGACTAGAACTTTTATTTTTTCTAAATTTGAATTAACATTTACGATTACGCTGTTGCTTTCATAATTAAACTAATATAAATTATAATAAAAAAATTTTAATAATGTTAGCATTTTTGATGACGTCTCGAAATCTAAAAAAAGGTAGATCAATGAATCGGAAAAAATACGGCCCGAATAAATGATCACCTGAATTGTGCAATGATCGGAGTAATCCCGCTTTTGATTTAAAATATCCTTTTTTAGTAACTCATTGTAAATATAAAAAAAAAATTTTTTCGTTCAAAAAAAAAGTTAATTTAATTTTATTTTATTTTATTTTATTTTTTGAATACTGTATATTACGAAAATAACCTAATGGAAACCGAATTTAGTAAATTAAATATCTCAGGTGGAGATTCCAATCACAAAAATTGTTCATATTGCAATAAACCTTTTACTGAAGAATTATGGTGTAAAGAATGTGACCCATTTAGAATAATGGAAGGATGGACCAGTGGAAATTCTGTTATTGATAAGTTTATAAAAGATACAATGTGCAAGCCAGCAGGATGGGACAAAAAATATAATTATAATTTTCTTGAATGGGTACCATTTGATAGATTTACAGATATAAAAGAAATTGGTGAAGGTGGATTTGCCAAAGTATATTCTGCAACTTGGATTGATGGTAAATCATATTATGAAGAACAAAGTGATGGAAGTTGGAAAAAAACAGAACCTATATCTAAGAAAATTGCCTTGAAAAGGCTGAATGGATCACAGAATATGTCAGATAAATATTTAAATGAAGTACGTTTTTATACTATTTTGTATCTTATTTAATTTATTTCATTTAGGTGTTTAATATTAAATCATTTTATTTTTTTATTTTAAATTTATTAAAAATAGCTTAAAATACATTGGGAAATTTCTAATAAACACGGATTAAAATTTTATGGATTAACTAAATGCCCAGAAACTAAAGAATATATGATGATCATAGAATTTGCTTATAATGGAAATTTGAGAAGTATTCTTTCAAATGACTTTAACAACATTATGTGGGTAGATAAAATTAGTCATTTATATTCTATACTCGTAGACCTAAGAGATTTACATGAATTAGGATATTGCCATAAAGATTTTCATAGTGGGAATATTTTACATGCTAGTCCTATTTGTATTTCAGACTTTGGATTATCAGGACCAGTAAATGAACAAAAATCAGATGGTAAAGTTTATGGAGTAATGCCATATATTGCACCAGAAGTCTTAAACGGAGAACCATATACATCATCATCCGATATTTATAGTTTAGGTGTATTTATGGCTGAATTTTCATCAGGAAAACCACCTTTTTACAATAAAAAACATGATTTAAGCTTAGCATTAGCCATATGTAATGGACTCAGACCAGAATTTGGAAAAGGAACTCCTGAATTTTATAAGAAATTAGCTTATAAATGCATGAATGCTAATCCAAATGAAAGACCAACAGCTAACGAATTATACAATATATTTATCTTTTGGCGTGATTCTACTTGGGGTAGTTATGGTGAAGTAGAAAATTTTGGTTATAAAGGAAACGAAATTAAAGCAGCATTTGAAGAAGCTAATAAAGAAATACCAAACATCTCAACTTCGTATGAAAAGAATTCTGATGCTGTATTTACTAGTAGAGCGTTTACATTTAGTAATTTATTACCAAAGCCCGTTAATTCATCCATTATCACATCATATGTTAATAATGAAGGTACTATTTTCTACTTCTAAAATTTTTTTTTTACTTTAATAATTATTAACTTTTATTGTTTTAATAGTTTGTGACTCCCAATTAATCGACTTGGAAGTATCTAATTCAATACAATTAAGAGGTACTATATTAAACATAATTAATATTATACTATACATTTTAGATATTCTAATAATATTTATATTGCTGATATTTAGACATTGACGATGAAAGTAAGGTTGATGATTTAGTGAATTAAATATTATTTATTAGCTATATGATAGTATAATTGGTAGCTTAATTACTTTATAATGTACTAGCTGCTGTAACCTGTTGCGTTGCAACAGGATTAATTTATGGTAATATACAAACTTATACTACCCATGGCCTTTTTTCTTATTCTGCTACAGGTTTATCTTACTTTACATAATCTTTTTTGCACTGTTCAAGCAGTTGGCATATTCTTTCATATACTATTATACATTAGTATTGTGGAAGCATATCTGATTAATCAAATTTTTTATTTACATCATTAAAATTTACTACATACAACTTATTAAAGGATGGAGATAACCAAAAAAAAAAATTGCAATAAAAAATGAACAATAAAAAAACAACGAAAAAAAATTAAAATAAATGATGATAAAAAAAATTCAGTATAAAAACTAATTAAAAAAAAAAGTATTTTTTGGTTTTAAATTGAAAAAAAAATAATTTTTAAAAAAAAAAATTAAAATCAGAAAAATTTTCATTCTTTAAGAATTGGTAAAAAAGTATAAAAGAAAAAGGTAAACCGATCTGTTGAAATTATCTCAAAATCTCATAGATTCGTCATCAGAACGTACACAGTGATCCTGGCAGCCATCAAATCATTTTGACCAAAATATATCAGATGCCTACCGAAACCTAAATGGTGAAAGAATGAAAAATTCTTTCGGTTTAAATAAAAACCAAATCAAAAAAAGAAAAGTGATTAAAAAAAAAAATTTTCGGTTTGAAAAAAAAACCAAACCGAAAAGGGGAGGCGAAAAACTTTTTTTAACTAATCATTTAATGGACAGTTTATAAAAATTAAAATTTTTGGTTTCGAGTTTTGTAAAAAAATTAATTTTCGAAGTTTTGATGAAGAAATAATATAATTTTAGAAGACTAACACATGAATTTTCCCAAGGTAATACAAATAAATATGATAATTCAATACAACATTTTTATTTAGTGGAAGTTTTGTTACAAATGAAAAGTTGAGTTATTAACTGTGTTATTTCAGTTCTTTTATTATATTTAAGAATTAATCACGCAAATTTAATTAGGAATTTTATATAGTATATATATTTTAACTCTTACTTTATTAGATATTGATTTATCAATTTTTTTCTTATTTTAAAAATCAAAATCGGAAATATCATGATTTCACCCGAGTTAAGTAAATATTGTTTATTATTTCTGTTGATCAAAATTTATATTTTTTTTACTTTGCCAAATTGATAAGAAAAAGGATTTGAATTATATGATGAAATAAATTCAAAATAATCTTAATAATTTTGATAAAGTTGATTTCTAATTTGCACTATATAAATTGAGAGAATTGGACAAACAATTTAATTGAAGTGACTTAAAGATAAAGAGTGATACATTTGCATAACTTTTAATATATTGAATTATAGCAACTAGCCTAGCATCTATCCTAATTCCTAAATGAAAGCGATTAGAGAGTAAACAGAACGGTAAAATTTATGGAGATATTCAGAATTATTCTATTCTACTAGACAGTCTTTTTTTTTCGTATAATCGTATAGTATACCTTTATAAAAAAATTTGATTATGTAATAGTACGGAAATCAATATGATAATACATGAAAACCCCGGGTGTCCTATTAGTTTGATTGTCTGTCGAGGTCATGTGCACGTTCCGATGGCCTGCAGTAAAATGATTTTTTTTGATTTTTTTTCCCTTTGGTTTTTCCTTTGATTGTTAAACCTTTTCCTTTCACGGTTTTTTTAAACCGGATTTTTAATTTATTTCTTTTTCTTTTTTTTCCTTTTTCATTTGTTCTTTTCCCCTTTGGGTTTGGATTGACTCTGCAGTGTCATGATGATCGCCTTTTTTTCCATTTTTTATTTATAATAGTTTTTTTTTACCGAATTTTTTTTTTTTTACCTTTTAGGTTTGGATCAGATCGAAATAAATTTTTATTCGAAATAAATATAATTTGTAATATCTTTTTTTAAACCAAAAAAAAATTTTAATTTATTTTTAATTATTTTTTCGGTTCAAACCAACAAAATAAATCTTTGAATAACTCCAATAAAAAAAAGACTTTTTTTGCTAATATTTCTAATATATTTTTTATTGTTCATTTTTTGTCTCCATCCTCTAACATAAGTTGTAGTAAAATTTTAATTATATAAAATAAAATATTTAGAAAAGGGAATATTAAATTTTATAGAGCAGCATACTGCATTAGTGTAAATTAATCCAAGCTAGTATGAGCTGAAACCAATACGTCATTGTATCACCTGAGTCAGTCGGTACTTAATCATTTGGATAATCAGCCTAGAGAATAAAAATTATAATGTATACACAATAAGTTTAATTCCCAGAATTTACGTTATTATTTATGAGAAAGACTTATAACTTTTTTAAGTGAATACAAGTCAAATAAATGTAATATTTCAAAGAAACATCAAAGTTAATTGAAGATTAGTTACAAAATTAAGTTGAATTATTATGTCATTATGTTAAGATTAAATTACGATATTCTTATATTACATTTAAAGAAATTTCAAGCTAGGATTCTATTAAATGTTTAAATTATTACATGGGATTGTGAGGTCCCCTGTTATTTGACGTAATGTTTGATTTTTTTGATCATCATTACGTAACACAGTCGCACAGAACAATTTAATTTGTCCGGAATTTGGTTCCGGTATATATTTCTTTTATTTTACTTATTTATTTATTTGTTCACTTTTTTTTTTAAAAAAAAATAATTTTAACATTTTATAAAATTATATTTAAAATTGCCTTAAAAAAATTTCAATTATAAAAGATTTATTCTAAACCATTTTTCATTATTTTTGAATAAAAGGATGGCAAAACTCAATAAAGATATTCTTTTCTTAATATTTGAAGAATTACAAGTTGATTCAAAAACTCTCTTTTCTTGTCTAATGGTCAATAAAATTTGGTGTGAAACGGTAACTCCAATATTATGGAGAAATCCCTGGTGCTATGAGATAAATTATAGTAATAAAAATTATTTATTTATGATCATTGCTTCATATTTATCTGATGATACTAAAGAATTCCTAACAAGACAAGGAATACAATTACCATCAGTTTCATTTCAACCACTTTTGTTTGATTATTTATCATTCTGTAGAAGTATTAATGTAAAAACTTTGAATACTATAACTTCTATTGGATCCTCTTTAGCTTATAATCAATTTCTTTTACAACAAGAATTTTATTGTCTCTTTATGAAGAAATTTCCAGAGTTGAAGTGTTTAGATATGAATTTAATTAACCATCAAATATTTTATTTACCAGAAGCTAAAACTCGTCTTGAATCACTATGTGAACTAAAATGTGACACATCTATTGATCCTTCATACTTTTATGGATTAGCTCGTATTTGTCAATATATACAGAGACTCATTATTGCTGTTAATATAGTACCAAAATCAAACTCTGGAATTGCTAAATTGATTGAAGTTCAAAAGAATTTAAAATATTTTGAATGGACTGATGATTTTGATGGTGATTATTTTACAGATGATCCTTATAAAGAAATCTTTCTTGAATTAGAAAAAAAGGCAAGCTTTCTTAATCATCTTAAACTATTTTTCCTATATATTGATAGTTTTGATTATACAATAATGCAAAGTTTACTTCCAAAACTTCATAATATAAAAACTTTAAAAACTAATGAATTTTATTTTATTGGTTTTACTGCTGATGAAAGAAGTATGTTGAATACATTAGTCTATAATGATCTTGAAATCCTTAATATAGATTATATTACAATAGGTGAAACTTCAATTATAATTGAAAATAGTGGAGGACATCTTAAAGAAGTTTCATTAAAACCTTATGATTTTATATATTCTCAAGATAATTTTAGTGATGAATCTCTCATTTTTATCCGTAAAATTTATGAAAATTGTCCTTTGATTGAATATCTATCACTTGCACTTATGCCATCAAAAAATCATTTCATTGAATTTGAAAAATTATTACAAGTTTGTCAAAATTTGAAATCATTATTATTAATTACATCAAATTTTTATATGCAAAGAACTGACGAAGAAATTTTAGAAAATAGAAAAGAAATATTAAAAATATTAATTAAATCAGCACCAACTAATCTAAGAGAGATTAGATTTTTTAATGATTTTAATATTTCTTTGGAAGTCTTGGAAGAATTCTTTGAAAAATGGAGAGGTCGACCTGCACTTTCTATACTTACATCTAATTTTACTTATGAAGGAAAAGATTATAAAAATTTGATTGATAAATATAAAAATAATGGAGTAATTAAAAATTTTAAATATGTATCTTACGTGTATGTAGAAGATATGAACTATAAAATATAAAATCATCGTAATGCTTTTAGTTGATTCTTTTATATTAGAAATTAGTATGTAGAGTATTTAGTTCTTAATAATATAATAGACTAAGATATTTGTAATTTATTTAGCAGATCTTTTTTAATTACAGTTGTAGGAATCAATGATATTGAAGCATTGAATTATGTACTAGTACAACGTGAGTAATAAAAATTATGAATTCATTTACTGAAAAAAAAAGTATCTGTTAATTTGAAATTAAGAGGGAAGTTGGATTACATAGATGATAAATTTATAAAATTTTTTCCAGAAGATAGTTCTAAATAATTGGTTTCTTTCTATGAAGTTTTACTTAGAAACTAAATTTGATTTTTCAAATATTATCATGCCATAGGTGTCACATACATGTATGTGAATAAAATACGTAACTTGTTATTAAAAATAAATTTTAAGACTATAAAAATACTATTTAGTACAGTTCACTTTTTAAGGCTTATCATATACTTTTTCATATAATTATGTACTACAGCCCTACCACAATTAAGAAGTGTACTATATATATATGTTCCGGCCATGAAAATTACCACAAGCTTACAAAAAGTAGACACTATGTCCCTCACATAGTGCTATTACACTCAAAACAATTTCTACATCATCTAAACCAAGATAACCCGGATAATTCAACCCGAGTGAATTTTAAATCGGGTCAGTATTAACAATTTAATAACTCGTGACCATGACCCAACCTGTCAGATCAGGTAATTCATTTCCTTGACTCGGGTTTTGACTTGAATTAGACTCGGATCATTAAAATTACGCGTTAATGTTGACTACGTTTATATATCATCATTGATTACGATTATCCAAAACTTATTTTCTCAGCTATTTCACCAAGAAATATTTGATTACCGACCTTATAATGTCTATTGACCTAACTGAACTAACAACTGACTCCGCCATCTAATCGTCTTGGAAAAAGAAAAGCTTTACATACTAGTGATTTTTTTTACTAAAAAGCTCTTTGTGCAAAGAGATCTTCCACCAGACGTGTAGTCCAGTG